CTTCCTTCCTTCCTTCCTTCCTTTCTATCCTTTCGTTCTACCTTTCTCGCAGTCCATTTTCCCTCTTTCTTAGCATTTTGACTATTTTCCCCCCTTATCTTCTTATCCATAAATACTAAAAGTATCCTCCATTACTTGTCACACTAAACTATAAATAAAGATATTCCACAAGTAGTGCTTGGAAACCTATAGGAGACTTAAGCCACGGCCTTAAAAAGTCTACCTTAACTAACAGGCTAGCCGACATTCTGCATGATTTCATTCTTAAGTTCCATACATGTACAACGAGAAACGCTCCTAATTTCACTTGCTTGCTCGCACAGCTTGTTAACTTTCCAACGAAAAAATACATCTCGATCTTAACATATGTCTGTCAATTTTGTATCGATTTGTCTTTAAACCATAGAGATTTTTCGTGAATTTCAATTACAAATTTGAAATTCGCATGTTTGCCACCTGGCGTTGGTTGACAGCTTAGCTTGCAAGGAAACGAATAGGATCATTAGTTTCGTGAAGTTTTTCTATAATGTTATTTTTTCAGTATCTTGGAGGCGCGCAAACACTGTGGTGAAATATTTCATTAGCACCAAACATGACTTAAAAAGGTGACGAATACTTGATGACACGATTTCTTAATGACCATAGTACCAATAAATCAGATAGATGAGGTTTTAAAATCAATCTTTATCATTTACACCTCCGTCATCAGTCAGACGAACTGAGTGTGGGTTTTCTTCTCGTCTCAACTCGTTTCCATCCGAACTTGTTTTCCGTCGTTAATGATACTATAATGTTTTTCTAACGCCTTAAACTGCACATCTAGACGGAGCTCTCGCTTTATCGACTGTTTTTTTTTCACTTAAAAACATATGAATCTCGTTTTTAACAAGTTTTTTAGACATTGACCATCATTTGAGGAGCGTCTGCCAACATAACTCACTTCGTCGCTCCACGAGTTTCAAGATGATTTTGTCTCAAAAAAAAAAAAAAAAAAAAAAAAAAAAAAAAAAAAANAAAAAGAAAAAGAAAATTAAATGTTTTCTCTATATGTGCTGCCAGATGGGCACTCTAAAAAACCCCAGAATACCAAGTAATGTTATACAAGATATTGAAGAAGTATTTAATAAAGGGATATTACATGCTTTTAGGAGTCGCGGCAAGTCAGATTGAATGCCATTAAACCCAACTGAAGCGTGATTAAAATCTTTGAACTTTAAAGTTGACTTCAAAGTACCAATACTAATACAAAATCTTTATTCCTCGCTTTTTGGTAAAAGGATTATTTTCTCTGGAAAATTCGATCCAAATGTGGAAAGCAATCCCGGATTAGAAATGAAATTTGAGTCTAATGACTGTACTGATAGTGGACAGCTCTAAGGGGTTTTTGCTTTTTCTCTTCCTAAAATTTAATACGTTCAATTGAAACCACTGTTTTAAGTTACCAGAATGACCTACTTTCTTGATGTTAAAACTAATTAGAGCATTTTTTCCTGATAGTATGACCTGGTAGGAAAATAAAATCCCACCTCAAATGTCTGAGGTTTGCTTTCTTTTCATTTAAGCACTTTATTGAGAATCCCGTATATGATATATTTTTGTCAATAGACCAATTTTAAGACATTCTCTAAGCGACAATTCGTCTGGGATCTGTTTCCCGTTCGTTAACGAAAGAACTAAAAATGTATTTAAGAAAAAAAATTTCAGCCATAATTGATGTCAAAATATCTTCAGTGCAATCAAATCATCCTATGTTGCTCAAATCATTAGTAGAGGAAACGTTTCGGAGACTTATCGCGTCGACAAAACTGATTTTAAGTACACATGAAAGTCTTTATTTTCTCTAGATATTATTTCTTTTATCTCAAATATTCCAAGGTCAAATATACGTATTAGACAAGGCGTTAAGTAGACCATGATATTTGCTTTTTCCTAGGAAGAGTATCTCGTATCCGACATTATTTTGGAATAAGAAACATTTTATGATTGGAGAGATTTTTTTAAGATGGTCATGAAAATTTGAAAAATAAACTTTGTGGGAAACTAGAACTAAAATAACAACTGTTATCCTAAATAACAGCTAAAAAAGGGTTGGGGGTAAAGATATTCCCGACGTTGAGCAACTAATACTTGATATTGCGCATTCTAAGATTCTAGATTTGATCGAGTCCGAACAACAAAGTCCAAACGAAGGGAGAGAATGATAATAGTCGGCGAATAAATAGATTACAAAACGAAGGTAAAGGTAGAGAAAAGATATAGATTATAAGAAAAGCGAAGAAAAAAGAAAGGAAAAAAGAAAAATCAAATCAAATCAAAGAAGCTAAAATCTAAGAAAAGAAAACGAAAGAATGAAAATTAAATCTCGCCAAGGGAATGAAGAGCAAGAAAATTAGTAATTACTTTGAGATAAACAAACAATTAAGCATTTTAGATTTAATTAATCCAATTCAGTGAAAATTTAGACAATTTTTTTAATCGTGCATGGGAAATGAAGGACAAAAGGACCGGGAGTAAAACCCTTTGGGCACTCGCACGAAAAGACGAGAAAAAACGTGTTTTGTACTAAGAGACTTGGATTCATTAAAGAAGATTAGCATGGCAGTATTTATTTATCTCCGAATATAGCGTAGCGGCAGTGCACTCGCCTCTTATCTCTGCATGGGGTCTCAGGTTTGATTCCTGGACTCAGTATAACATGTGGCTCAGTCTACTGGGTTTGTAGGCTCTCTCGCTTGATTCGAGGGATTTTTCTCTCTTTTTTTCCTCTGGTTTGCCTTCCTGCGCAAAACTTAGCAAGCTAAATTTCAATTTGATCTGTGGGTTAGCCGTGCCCTGACTTAGATCAGCCCATAGGTTGTTTAAGGGTTCAATCTGTGAGTTAGCCGTGCCCTGACTTATCAGCCCAGAGGTTGTTTCAGGGTTCAATCTGTGCGTTAGCCATGCCCTGACTTAGACCAGCCCTGAGGTTGTTTCAGGGTTTGATCTGTGAGTTAGCCATGCCCTGACTTATATCAGCCCAGAGGTTGTTTCAGGGTTTGATCTGTGAGTTAGCAGTGCCCTGACTTATATCAGCCCATAGGTTGTTTCAGAGTTGAGGGAGGAAGGGAGGGAAGATTTGTTCAACTGTATACGTTCCTGTTTTTATTACTCAACACTAAATATAATGATTTAGTTTTTAACTTAAAACTGAGTTTCGCTGCGGGAAAAAGGCAATTGTTTTTCTTCTCCATGACAACGGGACTTCCTTACTTCTTCCCTCCTTCCTCCGTACGTGACTATTAAAAATACCTTCCACCTTCAAACTACAAACCAACAAACATTTCTCTTCATCATCATCCAGACCGATCTTTATCATATTTTAACTAAACATTTTCCGCAATTATTAATATCTTCCAATGTTCAAACCTTCAAATTAACACCTGCTTTTTCTTCCACACATCATCTTCAGTTATTTGTATCCAGYTTTATCGCTTTTTCGCGTGCAGTAAATATGGTTTTCTTCTTATCGTTTTATAAAAACTTCCTATTTCTTTCGGTGCCGACTATAACATAGCAATCAACAAGAAACATATCTACAGAATCACTTGGAAATGTATGTAGTACGAAACTCTTTCAAGATTATCGTAAACTAACCATTACAACCGTCAAATAATCATCTTTCACACGTTAACATGTTTATTTAATTATTATCATCAATTATTATCATTATTATTATCATTAATTATTATTATTATTATTATTATTATTTGGAGTACTAAAACGTATAGATATTATCATTATTATATGTTTATTTCAACTTCAGACATTTTTGCTACATGAATACAGAATATTGCGGGCGTGAATAGTCTAAGCAAATATCTGCATGACTGGTTTTAC